CGCACATGAATTGTTCGCCGACTTGTTTTTGAGTAGAAGAGGGCAGCTGATACCAGTCATCAACTTGGATGATACCTGCTTTTGTAGAGGATGCAAGAAAGAACGCAGGGCGCAACACAGCACATATCTCCTTTCGATATCATATTTTGCAGAGAGCGAGAGTAGGTGCTCCACACGTTATCACGCCTTTAACTGTAGTTTTGAGGAAAATGGAGGAAGTGTAGTGATAAAGGAGACGAAGCAAGACCCAGGAAGGAAGGCTTTTATATGCTTATCCCAACATCTCCAATCTCGATGAGGACACCACAGCCACGTTTCTTATGTGCAAAGGACAACACAGCGGAGGGGTTCCATGTACAGCCAGAATATCTCTTTTGGGCGTAATTCGCAGCTCAGCTGCGTGAATCTGATTCGACTTGAGTTCGAAGTAGAGAGGGGAAGAACAACGGAAGCTCATGGCGTCATATCGGATGTGTTTTGGGGCGAGAAGAGCGGCAGCCCACATGTCATCTCGTCTGTAGTATTTTGGTAACATTTGGAAGCAAGATGTTGTAAGAGGCGGGAAAACAGGAGGTTAAGGAAGGTATTTATGTCCTCGTCGTCCCCCCTTTCCAGTTCTCATGTTATTGTTTCCAGGTAATTCTTGTAAGCATCGGAGCCGGACAAAGCTTTCCCTCTCGTTTTTCCACTTATAAAAGGTTTTGGATCCAGACATGGCAATCGTTCACATGGACTTGACGAATATCATTTTGTGAGGTAGTCGGGGGAGAGCGTACACATGCTGGGTCTCGTCGATATTTTTGGAAGAAGAAAGCCGGAACACACATGTCTGGCTCCATCTGATGTTTTTGGTAACGGTTGGGCGGAAGTATAGAGCACTATGATAGAGACCAGAGAGTCTTAAATAGCCGGTCCACGAAAGCCACGTGCAGAGGCTTAAGGATCTTTAGACAGGAAATGTTGCTGCCATGTGGATGTGGTATCGGATTTTGTTTGGATCTCGCTGGCGGAAGCTTTCCATACGTTGAATTAGCTAGCGTTTTGGAAAGAGGGAAAGAGGATATTTGTATGGCTTTTCGTACATCCGAAGGCGTCAATAGCCTTTTGGAAAACAAAATCACGAGGCCAACATTTGGGCGGAGGTGCGTTATTTTGGAGAATAAGATGGACAGTTACGGCGTAGAGAAGACAGAAGAGAGCATCCAAGAGAGGGTTTATATACCCTCACCACCACCCACTCCATCATCAGACGACACCTCCTAATGCACATATCACTGCTATCACATGGATCGCAAACACCATCTTTTGAGTGAAGTAAAGACATCCTGTCTAATCATCATTGCGTCATACCACCCCTCTATCTATCTATCGTACGCCCACCCCATCGCCCATGCAAAAGAAATGATGAAGAGAGGATGAGAAAAGAAGAGAAAAAAGACGCCTGTAAATGCTCAACAAACCATGATTCATAGCCATGAAGCGTTGCATCAAACCATACGAGGGGCATCAAAGAAACCATTACAAAAGGGGAGGAGGAGCATCAGGAGGAGATTTAAAAGAACCCAGCCAGCATCCAACACAAAAGATCCCGAAAAGTAATGTAAACCCCCCCTACCCCACGCACACATACATCATCAACATCTAAAACCCAACCATAATAATACACATCATCCATCTAATCCCAGCCCCAAGCCCATCTTTCTGTCTCCTAGTTGTTTGCCATTGGCGCGCCCCTCCTCAGCTTGTAATCCGGCAGATGATCAAAGTCATCTGTCTGACTGTTATACCTCCAAGCCTTGAACTCAACGCCATATGGCTTAGGCTCAAGCTGGTACAGCATGCCGAGCGGGCAATCCAAATCCGCCACGTCCTCACGCTTCAGGCCCTGGAAGTACGCCAACAGTACACGAGCAACACTCCGATGTGTGATAAGCAGGCAGTGATCCGTCATGCGCTCTAGCTCTACGATGACAGGACGGATACGGTTGATGACGTCGAGGTAGCCTTCACCACCGGGGCCGGGGTAGCGGTAAGCCAGCTTGTCACGGCGCCGTTGGAGGTATTCGTCTGCATATTTTTTGCGGATTTCTTCGTAGGTGAGACCCTCCATGAGACCCGCATTCAGCTCGTCCAGCATGCGCATTTGTTTAAGTTCGAACTCTTCGTCGCAAAAGTATTGGCCAGTTTGGATACCGCGCTTGAGCATCGAGGTCCAGACGCAGAAGTTGCGTTGTTCAAGCTCGTGGCTGTAGTAGGGGTTTGGAGGGGTGTGGTCGCCTGCCACTGGGGGGAAGTGGGTATTGGCCATCTTGTCTGCTTGTCGAACGGCCCAGTCTTTGCGCTGTGCGGCAATGAAACGTGTCATGGCCTTTGCGTACTTTTGTCCGTTCTCGCTAAGGTCGGAGTCACCGCCAATCTTTCCGGCAACATTGTCCTCTGATTCGCCGTGTCTGGTTATCCAAATCATACGCGGTGCAAGGTTGAAGTTGAGGAGGTAGTAGACGGCTTGGCCTGCAAGGAAGCCCTTGATTTGATGCGAAATCATCTCTCGGCCAACATCCACCATCTTGACGTAGGGCATGTTGTTGTCCTCCTCATAATCGCCGATTGGAACATAGTTCTTCTCGTAAATGGCAACGCGCTTCTTGAAGTCTGCCAAGGCTGCGACTGGGTCCTTGTCTGCGTAATCTGGACCTGATAGCTTCAGGCGCATGTTGGATTCCAGGAGGTTCTGATCACGGCAAACGCTCTCGACGAACAAGACGTTGAGTTCTGGTCCAGCACGATCTCGTATCCGCTCCATGATCTGCTGTCGTCGCGCCAGCGTACTGTTGGTCGCATCGAATATGCCCACAGACCCACTGCCCTTCAGAATGTAATCCAGCAAATCGTCCAGAGTCTCCATAGCGCATTGCTCACGCAAAGCCGCTGCCCTTTGGTTTTGTGGGTCGAAAAAGTCGGCTGACTGGTCCATCGACTCTTCCTCCTCGGTTGCCGTCTCATTGTTCGGCGAAGGCGCCTTCGGGCCTGGCGATGTGACTTCGACTCGTGGTGGTGGTAATGGTGGGCCGTCCTCGTCCTCCGCAATGGCCGTGCTACCCCGGCGTGGGTCCGGCATGTTCTGTGGGTCTATGGGCCCATCGTGCGCGGGGTCGCCATTGATAAGAATTTTCGCAGCGATCTGCGGAAGTGAGTCTTGATGTTCCTCAATGGCCTGCTTGACGTGTGAGGAGACGCGCTCGAGGTTTGCTTGTGACAGCCTGAATCCACTGTGACTCGCAGCTACTCTCCGCTTCTCTCCCACATTGAAAATCTTGGTATCGTGCTGCAGCCAGTTCAGATAGCGTGCCATCTTCTTTGTAATGTATGATTTGCCTCGCGCGGGCAGTCCAACCATGACGATGACAAGCTTGGAGCCGACATCTCGCTGTGCGATCTTGCCGTCGGGAGAGACCTTGGATTTGGTCAGGCCGGGGATATCGAGCGTGGTAGGCCGTAATCGCGGGGTCGACGTGGTGGAGCTATTGCGGGTTAGGGCGCTGTCACGGTCAGCGAAGTAGGAAGCGCTCTGCGACGGCGGTTTTCCATACTCCCGCGGACTTCCCGGAACAGATGGCAGTGGGGTGTCACTCAAGGCAGTGCCCACGCCATCCTTGGTGACCAAACTCCCATTGTGGTGCTGTTGGTTGACTGGATTCGGGACCGCTTTCAGCTGGCCATTTTGGAGGGCGCTCTCCTTGAGAGCCTGCACGTTCTTTGCAGGCGCAACAGCAGGAAATTTTGGCTCGGCGGATACGGCGCGGGGAGTGAGGTCGTTGTCGTTGTTGGTGTTTGGCTGCTTTGCGTTGTCGAGGGGTAGGGTGAGTTTGCTCATTACAGATCGGGCGTATATGGAGTGGGAGCTGAAGCGGCGGTTTGGAGTCGAGGTATTTGAGGAAGCTGAGGATCGGCGGCGATGCGAATGCTTGTGATGTACAAGCTCGGTCACAGTCGGCGTCGGGACTGCTTCCATGTTTGGCGTCATGCCAAGATGTCGAAATACTTATCAAAGGCTAGCTTGGCCGCTGCACACTAAGATAGGACCCAAGGCTCTGGATGCAGGTTGCTGTTGCCGCTGCAAGACTGTGTGGGACTGGGTTTCGCTGGGGAGACGGTCGAAAAGGCTGTGTAGAAGAAGAGTTCCTGTCGAATTGTCGCGTGAATTTCAGAGTGCAGGCTTGTCGGGCCGGTGACCTTATCAAGGGATCGATATGACTGTTCGGAGTCGGCCTTTGGTTGAGAGGGCTAGGAACCACGGGTGCGCCGCTTGACTAGGCCGACGGTGGTAGCGGTGGGCGAGTTTTCAGGAACGCGCGCAAACGCGTTGAGCAGTGCATGGTGAGCAGTTTTTATCCTCCAGTCTCGACGGTTAGATTGTGCGAGGACAAGGCGCGACTTGTCTGCGCATCGCTGTCCGAGTACAAACCGCTTGGCACGTCTTCTTGCTGGAAGCGGACAACCCCACAGTCCGATACCGAAACGAAAGCCAATCATTCTCACACGCCTCCCGCTGCACCTCGAGACGACCAAGATAGCACACAACTACCCTGATCTGATCCTTTACACGCAGACACGGGCTAGACAAATTCCAAAGTAGCTCTGAGCGAGGTGACAGTCTCGGTCGTTGCACAACGTTCCATTCCTCTCATGGTGATTCCGTGCCATGTTGACCAGTTCCTGGGTGGATCGCGCAACGTCAGCGTGCAGCTACACACTCCACTGTTTCTTGTATAGGTAAAAGTCCTTGGCACTCATATACATACACGACAATGTATTTCCCCAGATTTCCAGAAGTAGTTTCCAGACTTCTTTCCAGATGAAACCTCCGCATTGTGGAGACCCTTTGGTCACCTGCCGTATGTCTGGGACGGTACCAAGGTAACGTCGTCATCTGTGCTGAAAGCACTCGTCGAGATAACGTGACCGTTCATCACGATCCAAAGACGTCAGTGATGAGATGCTCATGTCGCCAGTTTGAGCGTCAGTACCAACAGACAGATGTATGCTGAGACGCTTAATGCCGTCAACACAGTGACCACATTGCCGGATGTTCGGAACTTCTTCCTGTGCAAGCCATCCTCACCGACTTCTGAGAAGAACTGTTTGTTACCTATCTGTTGTCAGCAGCCACACCTGCGTCGTCGTCATACATCTGCACCATGACTGTCAACTGACCTTGCTGTCGCCGGAACAGACTAATAAACAGAATGCCAGCGCCGTAGACTGCGAACAGTGCACCGATCGAATAGAATTCGGCGGTGAAGATCTTGAGTACTACGAGCGCAAAAGAAAACTGGCCGATTGCTGTACGGACGTATGCGCCCTCAAATGTTCGCTGTGCTGCGCGAATCTCAACCAGCTCTGCACTCGTCAACACGACTGATCGCGCGCGATGCAGGTGAAGGCGGTAATTGTCTGACGCGTGACGGCCCTGGATATTGTGAGCGGCAACATTTGTAGACACGCATCGTCAGAGTCCTACTTCGAACATGATTATTTTGTCGTGTTTATCGAGAGTGCAGATGAACGTGTTTAGTGGTGAAGTCGCTCCGATCAATTGCTTGATGCGTGACGTAGTGGGGTTAGAGCTTCCGAGGTTCAACCACGGCGCGTCCAACGGCTCAGGACATACGCGTTTTCATGGCCATGATGTGTGTGGTTCATGGCATAACCTAAAATCAAAACCTATGTGCTCTATCAATTCCGTATGATCCACGATGCTGTCGGGCTTGATCAAACGCGTTAGCTTTTTCTCAAGATGAGGCTCGACAGGTTGCTTGCTGCAGGGTCCAAGCACCTCCGAAGCTGTCGCCGCAACCACAAACAATGCAGCGAGAAGTCCATTTCAACAACGCTCTATACTGCAATTCACGCTTTGTAATCGGCAACACTCCCAGTATCCCCTCTGTGTCATTGTCGCATGCTACATAGCGCCTCGCGAATCTTTACTCGGCGCGGCATATGTTCTTCACCTGGAACGAACCTATGGTAAGTTTGTCACGCTAGAGAGGCCCTCAATACCACGTCAAACCTTCCATGTCGCAGACCAAATCTGACTGAGGTGATTAGGTGCTCTAATATCCGCCGCGATCATTTTATCCATCCCTCGTCCAGGTCATCGACTACGTTCTGCCGCCCATTTCCGCCGTGGACCGATTATCCTGACACGTACATAACCGAAGAGGGAAAGATGGCAGGTGGAGGAAAGCCGAAGTTCTATGGAGTAGCCGCCGGACGCAAACCAGGCGTGTATACAGATTGGCCGACTACGCAAGCGCAGATCAGCGGTTTTAGTGGTGCCAAACACAAAAGCTTCAAGACAAAAGAAGAGGCCGAGGCTTTTGTTCGTGGCATCAGCGCACCCATCAGCCTACGAGGAGATCTCTCTGCATCCAGGTCCCCATCGGCGACAGATCATCTGGACAGGAGCACGGAGGTATCGGAGAGTGCACCCAAGCGCCAAAAGAAGGAGGATGCATCGCCAGCACCCCTCTTGGACAACCAAGACATCAAGTTCGAGCCTGGCCTCGGCCCCCTCCCGCTCAACGCAGTAGATGGTTTCGACCCGAGCCTCAAGCTCGACGACAAAACAGGCAACATCAGAGTCAAGACAGACGACGAACTTGGGAAAAGGAAGAGACAGCCGACAGGGGATTTCAAAGGCCCCGTTGTTGTATACACAGATGGTGGTTCGCGGGGCAATGGCAATGCAGGTGCGAAAGCCGGTTGTGGTGTCTACTTCGGCCCAAGAGATCCGAGGTCAGTATCATGGCAAACAGCATGTGCTACAGCCTGGAGCATTTGCTGACGTTGAACACAGGAACGTCCAAGAACCTCTCAAGGGCGATGTCCAGACCAACAACCGAGCCGAACTAGTCGCAATGGCCCGAGCAATTGACCACGTTCCCATCGATCGCGACCTTCACATCATCAGCGATTCAGAATATTCCAAAAATTGCCTTACAAGCTGGGTTGCAGGCTGGGAGAGGAATGGCTGGAGGAACAGCAAGAACAAAGAGGTGGTGAACAAGGATATCATCCAACCCATTTTGGCAAGGATACGGGAACGTGAGAAGTGTAAAGCTCAGACTCTCATTACCTGGGTGAAGGCCCACGCGGTAGACGAAGGCAATATCGCAGCAGATGCACTGGCCAACCAGGGCATGGACAAGTGGACCACTGAGCTTGCGTCAGGAGAGGTCTTTGATATGTCAGAGACCCTCAGGACAAAATACAGAAACCCCAACGATCCAAAAGACGAATTCGACGATGCAGAAGAGATCGAAGGTTTGTTCCGCGAAATGGCAGAAGAAAATCCAAATGGGTTTGAGGGCGATCCTCTAGCTCAACATGATCCACAGCCCAACGATGTCCCACAACAAGGTGTTGCAGCTGCCGCGCAGGAGATCGAAGGTGCATGGCCTGATGACCCACAACTCCCCTCGAATGTGAACGGCGAGCAGAAAGAGCCGGAGTTGGAAGTCACGAATTAGACGATTTTCATAAGTCGGAAACCAAGCATGAATATGGTTGGATGACGTAGAGGCACCAATCTCGACAACAGGACGCTGCAAACCGTCGTCGTGGATTTGTACGACTGGATTTACTTGGGAAAAGATCAGGGTGCAGGCATCGACGGTAATTTGGGTCATCGTGATACCCATACGATAGCATACCATGTATCAGGTACAAGATTGGCTGGAGCCAAGAAAGTCAACCACGGTACAATCGCGAGGGACAGAATATTCCAAAGATATAAAACTGAAGTATTTTCCAATACTGCAATTCTTGCACACTCGCACACGGCTTCGGTTACGATCATACCACACTACAGCCTTACATACACCACACACTCAAGCACACTATCCCATGTCACCCAGTCCCGAAATCGGCGCGTTCGTCTGCCCATTTATCGAGGATTCCAAACACTACAAAATGACGTCCGCTATCGAGTCTGGCACGTTCATCTACCTATACAACCCTCAAAGACACCACACGATGATATACGATCCCGAAGTCGGCACGATCGCCTGTGAATGCAGCCAGCAGGAGTCCAAATCCCAGAGCGTGATCAAGAAAATATCATATTGCATAGTCGTCTCCGCCGCCGTAACCACATTCATCGCTAGCTTCCTCGCAATTATGAGCTGGAATCATCCTCATACTGTACAACAATGGTTTGAGAATGGATCATTGGGGGTCGTCGTCTGGAGCTTGTTTATTGTGAACGTCTGCATGTGCTTGGTATTGGAAATCTCGTATACGATGCTCGATGAGTAGATGGCCGACAAGGGACGGATAAGAAGGTGTGGTGAAGCACCATCTGGAGAGGCTGGCTAGTGACGCGGCCGTGATGTGGCAACCAGACTATTCAAGCGTGACTGTATTCCCGGAAGATGGGTGCGGACTTGGTCGACGAACGAATGCACGTCTCGGATCAGAATCCGGAATGCTCGCCACATGCTAGTGACTAGTCACACGCTCGGATGGAACGGCTATGACACCCAATAAGGCCACCCACTACTATGTATAACAGCCAATACCTAAAATCACTCCTCACTCTGTCGCTGTCCGCGTCCATGTCCGGCATCCCCATCTAGATGTATTCATCATTTATTCTACAGCTACACAACTTCAACGTCATAGTATACTTTGCTCTTTGCCACTCATTCCGAGAGATGTCGAACAGACCCCTAGACAAACATCTCAAAGCCGGTCGTATCGGTCGTGGGCTGATATTGGTCGCCGCAGCCATACAAACTACCGGATTCATCGCGAGATGGAGTGAGGGCAAGCAGACGACCATTGAGGCTGTTGCAGTCGCCAACGCGTATATGTTGTCTTGGTGGGCTTGGCAAGGGTCGAAGCATAACGAGAAGATGGTAAGAGAGATGATAGAGAATGGTGGAGTGGTCGATATCGAGAAGGGCACGGTGGGGAAGGGGGTTGAGAAGGAGAAGGTGGATTTGGGAGGCACAACAGAGAAGGGGAAAGAGGGCTCGGAGGTAACGACAGCGGACACCGAGAAAGAAGCGTTGAAGGAAGAGATAGCGGAGGAGGAGAAGGCGAGATTGGAGGCGTAGGGAAGGTGCGGCTTGTTCATCGTTCTGGACGCTGGTGCACTCAGATACGACTTGCTCGAACAGCGGAGTGCCTGGCAGCTACTACAACGCACCAAGTGATTATAGATCTTCAACAACTTCGCGTCAAGCACAAATAATATCCTTTCATCACTTCTGATATCTGATCGAACCTTGCCAACCTTCAGAGCGTCATGAGTCGACTCACCCTGTGCACTGTGACCATGGAAGTCCTTGACAGCTACTTCCAGTCATGTCTACCAAGGATCAATTTCCTCGCATCCATAGTGACTGGTGAGTAGCCAGTCAAGTCGATCGCAAATCTCACACTATCTACGCAACGTCCTATGCATGAAAGACAGAAAGTTGCAGTTACAAAACCTGAAACACTTTCTTGCAACTGTTAGTGACCTTGTGAACTTCCACATCCCTCTTTCGCACGAAACGGAGATTCTCGCCTTCCAGCTCCCGCAACTCTGTCCAAAACCATGCTTTCCACACGCAGAATCATCTGCCATGCGCTCATTTACTACTTTTCTGCGCACGCAGTCTGCGCCATCATCGCACCGTCGTCTTTTCCGTCTACAGTCTTGTAACCGTTTACCACCTTTGCTGCCTCACTTTCGCAGTCGGGCGGTGCTATCATGTTTTTCATAAGACTCATCCTCATTGCAGCCACTATCTCTTCTCTGGGAAAATCTGTAGTGGAAACATATGACATGTTCTTCCATAGACTTGGAGATTTTGTGGATGGTGAAAATGCTCAGTGAGTGACTCGGTCTGGTATTAAAACAAGCAAGGAAGATGGTAGGCTTTCGGAATACGAGCAGTCTCGTACGACGTATTATCTATTTGCTAACATACGCAAGGTTGCGTCGCGTTTGTGTGAGACCCTATCGTAAGTAGAGTCCAGCGAAACAAATCAAAGCTATTCAATCGGATCGTTGCCATGCATACCAGACCTTCAGCAGATTCAAAGACACATTCCACAGTCTCGTGGGGACCCTAATCGCAACCCTGACCCGAGCGATACGGAGTTTGGTAGCGAGGACATCTGAATATTATTTTCACGCTTTGTACATGGATGAGCAAGATTTCCTATCCGTGGTTCGTCTTCAAATAGTTATGGGTCATCTATCCTCAACCATTGAACTTTTTATTGGAAGCTAGAATCTTTGAGCAATTTTCTTCCATATCCTCGTCACGATCAGAGTTGCTATCAGTCAATCAGTCAGTTGTCAGTTCATCTTTGCGGTTCAAACTGTCAGTCTGGAGGTAGTGAACTGACCTGATTGACTGCCAAGACATTTTTTAGAATCGCGAACTGAGACT